AACTCAGGAGGGGGTAACCCCCCTCCCGAACCCACCCCCTACTCCGCGCTTCGCGCTTCGTATGCTTCCACATACTCATAGTCCTGGTTACGTCCCTGGTAACTATACCGAATTTAAATAAAGCTTTCATATATATCCATATAAAAGATATCAAAACCCAAGCTCTGAAATACTGAGCAATATTGGAAAAAAATAGGGAATTTTGTAAAGTGAATATAGATAATCTTTATCATGTTTAGGTCTTGTTTTAATAATGGATCGAAAGCCAGTAGTGAAATGCATGTCATGGAAATACATTAAGAGTTATCTCGCTTTGAAGTGAAAACCCACAAGAAATAATGAAATGTGTCAAAATGTTGAATACAAAAATAAGTCAAGTGGTAATTTCTTATAGTGTGCATAAAAATACAATCTGTATAGTGTTAGGATTATGTTAAGTTATCTAACTATATTTAAAATACTGGTAAAACATCATAAGAAACTAGACAAATCATTTTTCAACACTTGGATGTTTGAAATTTAGGTTCAAACTAGCGGAGATTCATCTGTCACACTTACCAGTTGTCAGAGTCGGAGACATGTAAATGTAGTATATATACGTCTCCGTCTGAGTATATTTTCCCTTCAATTATTAACGTTTTATTTTACACAAAATGTCCCGGTAATTGAAGCACAAGCCTGATTTCGGCGTAACCACTAAACATGTTAACTATATGATGCTTTCATCGGGTTTTTTGGGAGAAAAAAAATGGATACCTATGGTAGATTGCGATACACATTTCGGTAAAAACTAAGCGCAATCGACCGTGAGAATCAGAAGGAGATGTAATGCAGGAGCGAGGACAGAGAAAAGAATACCCCGCCTTCAATAAATTGTATTTAAGTAAAATGTAAATACATAATAGAATGCAGCTATAGAGACACTAGAACTATCCGACAGAAAACAGATATAGAGACACTAGAACTATCAGACAGAATGTAGATATAGCGACCTCAGAACTATCAGACAGAAAACTAGATATAGCGACACTAGAACTATCAGACAGAATGCAGATATAACGACACTAGAACTATCAGACAGAAAAAAAGGTATAGCGACACTAGAACTATCAGACAGAATGTAGATATAGAGACACGAACTAACAGACAGAATGCAGATATAGAGACACTAGAACTATCAGACAGAATGTAGATATAGCGACCTCAGAACGATCAGACAGAAAACTAGATATAGCGACACTAGAACTATCAGACAGAAAACAGATATAGCGACGCTAGAACTATCAGACAGAAAACAGATATAACGACACTAGAACTATCTGACAGAAAACAAATATAACGACACTAGAACTATCCGACAGAAAACAGATATAGCGACACTAGAACTATCAGACAGAATGTAGATATAGCGACCTTAGAACTATTAGACAGAATACAGATATAACGACACTAGAACTATCTGACAGAAAACAAATATAAAGACACTAGAACTATCCGACAGAAAACAGATATAGAGACACTAGAACTATCAGACAGAATGTAGATATAGCAACCTTAGAACTATTAGACAGAATACAGATATAACGACACTAGAACTATCAGACAGAATACAGATATAGCGACACTAGAACTATCCGACAGAAAACAGATATAGCGACACTAGAACTATCAGACAGAAAACAGAAATAGCGACACTAGAACTATCAGAAAGAATGCAGATATAACGACACTAGAATTATCAGACTGAAAACAGATATAGAGACACTAGAATTATCAGACAGAATACTGATATAGCGACACTAGAACTATCAGACAGAAAACAGATATAGCGACACTAGAACTATCAGACAGAAAACAGA